AAGATTTACCGATAGCTGGAAAAGCAATTTTGGATTTTTTTTTGCTTTGTTGACAAGTGCTTGGGAGTGTAGATCAACGAATATGAAAACTGCATTTCCACAGGGAGATCAGCTGAAGAGGGAAGTTTTTTTTGCCCTCCTAAAGAGGCACGAAATGTAATGGGGATGTGGTGGAAGTTAAATAAATCTGTTTATAGCCAAAATGATGTTTCTCCAAGACATACAAGGCTATGGACCAAATGCTAGAAAATGGGATTAGAGTAGTTAGGTATAAAAACAGAAGTTGCTGGTAAAACTCAGCGGGTCTGGCAGTATCTGTGAAGATTTCTTCAAAGATGTTGCCAGACCTGCTGAGATTTCCCGGCAACTTCTGTTTTTGTTCCTGATTTATAGCATCTGCAGTTCTTTTGGTTTTTATTTAGAATAGTTAGGTGATTGTTTTGACCAGCACGGACTCAATGGGCTTAAGACCCTTTTTCTGTGCTGTAGACCTCTATGACTCTAGAGTTTGTTGCTTCTCAAAAAGGTCTGCCTTGCTAAAATTGGATTGTCTTCAGTTAAAAGCAGACCTTGCCATATTTTACTAGCATCATGCAGGGCAGCTCTCAGGCATCTTTCTGATGCACATAGATGATGTTTTGCGGGTTGGAATAGTGAGTTCGAACATATTGTCATAAACAGGCTTAATGCAGAATTCAAAATTGGAATTGAGGTTTCTGAAGCTTTTAAGTACATTGGATTGGAGATCAGGAAGAATGGTTCAAATGTCACTTTGCCGCAGCAATCTTAATTGCAAGATGTTCGCTGCATTGCTATTAGTCAAGATAGGTCTTCATAGAAAAATGCAGCAGCTTCCAAAACTGAAATGGAAGAGTTGTGTACTCTAATTGGAAGCTGAATTGGCTGGGCACCCAGTCAAGGCCAGATGCCAGTTTTAAATTATTAGAGTTGGGTACAATGATGAAACGTCCCAAGGTCGAAGATATTATTTGGGTAGACAAAATAATTGAAAAAAAATTGGTGGATAATTCTTTCTTGCGACTGGATAATGATTTAACTTAATGCCATAACCACAGCAGAAAAACTTCACATAGATAATTAATATTTTAGAAATTCAAAACTAAATTGCTTTGCTTGATAGAGTTAAGGGGTTTTAGTTGTTTGTCTGCCAATAATAACAACTTTTCTTTCTAGTCTATCCAAGTAAAGGTAAAAGTAGAAGCAAGGTCCATATTCTATTTGGTTTTGTCTGGGGAGCTCAGGTCTGTGACTTGTGTATCTGCACTATGTGGGAAATCCTGGATGATTCTGGTGGTCTGAATGACCATGCACGAGGAGATGCCTCCAGTTGGAGCAAATCAAGCTCCAGTTCAAGGCACTATAGTGCATTCATGAAGCTAGGAGCTTCATGGATACCACCTTTTCAAGGGTGGGCAACCGTGCAGTTTAAGGTAGTGCAGGCACAGAGGGAATTGGTGACGACCTGATAGGAGAAAGGCACCAGGTAAATAATTCCTTTCTCACTCACTAAACAGTGGTCATTCCTTCGTGGAGACCAGCGACATTAGCTGACTTGTTCTTGCAGAAAGCTACAGAAAACAATGGGCTGAATGGTCTCCTTCTGCCCTGTACCCCATCCTATGATTTAAATATCCTCCTTCTTGACTCCTTTCCCGGAGTAGAATTCTGTAGGTATCCAAACTAATTGACAGCAACATGGCCAAAACCAATCCAACATATCAGACAAAATTCCATCCACTACCTTCGATGTTCAATCCTTTCTCCTCCACAGTGGCAGCAGTGTGTACCATCTGCAAGAGGCACTGCATAATGCATCAACGCTTCTTTGATAACATCTTCCAAACCCATAGCCTCTACCATCTAGAATGAATAGGGAAGCAGACGCAAGGTAACACCACTACCCACAAGCTTTCCTCCAAGTTACATGCTATCCTGATGTGGAAATATACTACCAATCCTTCAGTGTTGCTGGGTCAAAAGTCTGGGACTCCCTTCCCAACAGCACTTTGAGTGTACCTACCCCACTTCCAAATAGACTGTAGTGGTTCAAGAAGACCATCACCAGCTTCTGCAGGGCAATTAGGGATGGGCAGTAAATGTTGTCTTGGCCAACAATGCCCATATCTCATGAATAAACTGAAACAAATTCACACAGGCAGGAGTGGTGGGTGTGGATAGGACACTTGGAAGGTGGAATGTAATTGAAAGAAAAATCCCTGTCTCTAACCCAGACTGCCATGATCAACAGACAGCAGCTGTTTGTGATTCTGGTATTCACACCTCCTCTTGACATTGTCTTTTAGAACATAAGGGCATATGGAAAAGGAGCAGGAGTAGTCCATTTGGCCTCTTCAACCTGCTCTGCCATTCAATAAGATGACTGATCTGATTGCGGCTCTATTTCCAATTTCATTTCTGCCCCACGTATTCTCTGAATCTCTTATAAATCAAAATTCTAAATAATTCAGCCTTGAAGGTATTCAATGACTCTCAGGGAAGGAGAATTCCAAAAATCAATGACCTTCTGAAAGAAGGAATTTATCCTCATCTCTGACTTAAATGAGAAACCCCTCATTTTGAAGATATGCTCTTAGTTCTGCCTTCCCTCACTTCCCCCTTCTGTGAGAAATGTCCTCTCAGTATCTCCCCTGTGAAATTGCCTCACAATCTTACATGTCCTAATCAGATCACCTCTCAATCTTCTAATAAGCTTAAGCACAATCTGCTCAACCTTTCCTCAAAGACATACTCTTCATCCCATGTTTCAACCTCATGAAACTTCTGTGAATGTCTTCCGTTGCAAGCATACCCCTCCTTATATGAGACAAAAAAAAACTATCTGCAGTATTCTAGGTATTGTCGCCAATACCCTTTACAATTATAATAAGACTTCCCTACTTCTGTACCATATCCTCCTGCAATTTGGAATTGTCCTATCACTACTCCTTTTGGCCTTGCATCATCACTCTTTTGTTATTTAATCTCTCCTGTTTTTTTTATCCTGTCACAGACTATCCCTTTGTGCAGTGCCCCTCAATCTCTCGTTTAAAACATGATACATCTCTAAATTCTCCCAGTTCAGATGATAGATTAATGAAATGTTAATGTTTATCCCTTGCCAAAAAACTGCTAGACTTGCTGAATGTGTCCATAATCGTTTGATCAGTGATCAGCTGCTATGTCCCGACTACAACAGCTCTTCCAGCCTGTATTAAAACTGAATTAAGCAGAAATATAATTGTCACAGCAACAGTGCATATCTTGTAACTCTGTTTCTCTCCATTGGTGCTTCCTGCCCTGCTAAGAATTCCCAGCATTTTCTCTTTTCCTTTACCATGTTTGTTACTTGTTTCATGACAACTATATCAACTAACAAAATAAGTACAATAGTGTATAATCCTAGTATTGAAGGTGTGTATTAAAAGCAAAGTTGCCATAGTCCTACTGGACAATTGGGGTGATCTCTCATTAGAGAGAGTTGACTGGCGGTGTTTTAACCTGAAGATCACCATGCCTCAGATAAGAGGAGAGGTTGTGAAGGAGAGCTCTTCATGGAACCTCAACTGATGCAGGAATTGAACTCACAATGTTGGCATCACAAACAAACCACCCAGCTAACTGAACTATCCAACTTCCTAAGAGCTCACAATGACACTTTATGAGTAGCAGTATCCTAGCAGTCAGTGTATTTGTAGGAAGTCCCTCATCTATTACTTTGACAATGACAAAATACAATCAGGTAACACTGATATTGAAATAACAAAAATAATTTTGAAATGAAAGTGTTAAATATTCAAACATTATTATTCACACAACCTCATTTCAAAGACCTTACAGTGATTTCAAAATTTGCAACAACCCACTAACCGGAATATCAATTAGGCCACTGAATTCCCTATTGTTGCATTAGACACCTTAACCAGGAATTTATAGTGTTCAGTATGTCTGAAGGCTGACTGTGTTAAACTCCTCTGTGCACTATTAACTGGAGTGATTAACACCTCCTTTGAAAAACTGGGCAAAAAGGGGATTTGATGACAATGTGCTGTATGCTTGTATGGTAAGATAACTCTAACTTTCAGGTTTCACCCTGTGTACCCCTGCTTTCTCATTGTTTTAGCACAGTCAAAAGCTGGATGACAGATACTATGCGTTGATTCTGGACCAGTAATGAAACTGTCATAAAAACCAAAGCATCATAGGGAGATTTACACAGGTACACTTTACCAAGCTCCTATGTTTGTGATTTCTAGAGAAAGAGATGAGAAAAATGTGCTTAAAAAAAAGTTAAGAGTTTTTTGAAAACAATAGTCAGTGAGTTCTTTCTCACTAATGTTTTTAATCTGCTGCAAGAATAGAAATCGATGCCAAAAATATTACTGGTACTGAAGAGAATTCAACAACTCAGAAGTGGCTGTAACTAAGGACACTTCCCCTACCACAGTTGTGTGTTTGCCTTTAGAAGTCAAACTGTTTGGAATTGTACCATTAAGTTTCTATTGTCTCACCATATTCCCTCTGCCCTCACCTTAACCTTTATGCCAAAATGCCACTGCCTCACCCTAGCACCTCTGCCCTAACCGTAGCCTCTCTGCCAAAATGCATCAACAGGAATAATGACTGAAGGAGGGTCTCGGAAGAATGATTGCAATATCAGTACATGTCGAGATCAATTCTATTCTTCCTTTGAATGCTTGATATCCGATGGTATAGCTAATGAGGAATTGAAATGAATTGCACTCTTCAGATGGAGAGGAATTAGATGATAGAGATAATTGGACCTGATGGCAGAGATGCTGTACCCCTCCCATTGTAAAACTGCCAATGCTATTCTCATGTGTATGAATTCATTATAAACTACCATACTTATATTTACAATAAAAATATTTATTCAAACTTGCAACATTGTAAATGACAGGCTCCTGTAAGGGTGCCACTACATCCACAGGTGAATTGTGTAATTACAAATGGCAAGTTTACATAGAAAATTTCCATTGCAAATGTGGATATTGAAACTTAAAATGAAAGAAAAAGATAGGAAACACAGGCAGGTAAGTCGTTTAATATCTTATAGATTTGTAATACAAAATATTTTAAATGTATGATACTCAAAATTACACTGAGCATGTGAAATGATACATTGTGAAGAACTGTAATGTATCAGAAAATATTTAAGTTAACTAAATGATATTGTGTTTTCTGGTTTTGTAACCCATATTTTTCTTTAAATACCATTTGACACAAAAGGGGGAAAAACCACCAAGATTATTAAAAATTAAAATATGTTGCAATCAATGTTAGTAATAATTACAGTAGTTAGTTAAAATATATTGCCAAGTGTCTTTCTCCTAAGATAAAACCAGTTCAAGTGCAAAGCTATGTTATTGGGAGTGTTGGTAGAGAATTAGTTACAGTATTTTTATATGTGTCCTCTGCATTGACCTGGCTTTGCTTCCAAGTGGTAGATGGCTGCTTCTTATCGGTATTGAGATTTTGGAGGACGTGGTGAGCTTCAAGGTCAGTTGTCCCAGTGTGACCCAACTCCTTGTTTTCCCAGATTTCTGCTGGCTTGGAGGGGCCAACTAATGGTAATCTTGGTGTGTGAGTAACAGTCCTTTCTGGGTCTTCGGTGAGCATCCAATCTAATCTGTCACTGTGTGATCCAATGGAATTTTCCCTTTCTTGGTTCTTTGGTGTCATGTCCAAAAACCTTAGCTTAGCAAATACATTGTGCTTATCTGTCAGGTTGTGATCTTTGTAAGAGTGTTGATAGCCCAACTCGCTGTTATCTACTCTAGTAGGGGCAATGTTAAAAGGACCTGGGTCGTTTGTGGGGTTAGCCGTAGTTGGAATGTCCTCAATCCTTTTGGATTTGCTGGAAGAGTGTACAGCTGAACTCACATCATCATTTCCATCCATTTTACCTCTAGCTACCTTATGATGCCAGTTATTACGAGCTATATCTGTTGATAGAGTCATAGCATTGGTGGACTCCATGGTACTTTTGGCAGAAAAGCGACTTGATTTGGTCGTCGGTTTACTGTCCATTTTGACCTCCATTATTTTGCTGTCGGCATCACTTTTGACGTGTTGATTCAGGCCTAGCAGAGTCGATACAGCTCCCAATTCCCCTACACTGGAGGGACTGATTGCCAACCGGTTTGATTCCGTAGTAGCTGCATCGCCGTTGCCGGCTCGTTTCGGTTCATTGGGAGGATGATTTATGGCCTCCTTCTGGCTGGCTGCCTGGGGCGTTTGCAGCCTGGAGATCCCGGGAGCTGCGCTGCCGGTGTTGCTGTCCGTGGTCCTGAAGTTTCCGAAATCGGCGAGAGAAGCGCTCTCCTGGTGGCTGTTCACATTGGGAGCCTCATGTGCGTCGCTGTCCAAGGTGCTGAACGCACTGTTCTCGGTAGTTGTTTCCTTGCCGCTGGTGCCCCCTTGGTCATTGTCCATGGTCCTGAATGCCCTTCTCCCGGCGGCTGCTTCTGCGCTGCTGGTGGTCTCCTGATTATCGCTGCCCATGGTGCTGAACGCCCTGTTCTGCGTGACCGCTTCAATTCTATTGTTGGCCGAGGAGAGGATGCTACCAACTGCCCTGTGCTCTCTGTTCTCGGTGGTTAACATGAGATCGCTGCCGCTGCTGACCGTGGAGCTGATGCCGGCGAAAGCAGCGCGCACCATCCCGGAACTCCCCTTCGGTGAGTTCACAAAATTCCTAGCCCGACCGCCTGAGCTTCTCAAATGGCTTCCCTCGAATCGCGGAATGATGAAACCTCTCGGATTGCTTCTTACAGCGTTGAAGGCGCTTCTCTGTCTATGAGTGGTGCTAAAGTTGCCGGTTTCTGCATTGACCACGGTCAAATTGTTGTTGGACGGTCCTGGTTTCGTGCGGACCGGCTCCCAAATTAACGTGTAATAGATCACCAGAACCACCGCAGTCAAAGATACACAGAGCAAATAAGCAAAGACCGTTGCAAGTCTCATCCACGTCTTTTGGGTTTTGGCTGTGATTTTCGCTTTCTTATCTCCCGTAAAGCTGGGACCTCTCATCTGCTTCCCAATCCCATCAGATGCCCTGTTTTTCATTTCGGCCTTCAAGCTTGCAAAGCAAAACAAAGTAACGGCCACTTTGTTACTCGGAGAAGAAAAACGCGGGGTTAATTCGTCATGGCCCGCATGCCCTCAAACCTCTTATTATTAGCCTATTTTACCTTTTCAGTTTCCCCAGCGAGACTGATATAGAAACATGCTTTTGTTTACAGCGACAGCGAGAGAAGTCGTCCCGCCCCCAAGCTCCAGCAGTTGGCTAGTGTCAAAACGAGGAATCTTTCGTTAGCTCGGCGGCATGTAATTTAAGACGTTCCAGCCCACCTCTGCTTGCTAAAACAGACATGCGGTGATCGATTATTAAAGGTCCAGTGCTCCCAACCCCACAAAAGCAATCTTTCTTCACTACCTCTTGTGATTAATAGCCAAAACCATAGAATGGCACAGCGCGGGAGATGGTCATTTGGCCCATTACGTTCGTACTAGTGCTTTCCAATCTCTCCACTGAGCTCTGCATTTTTACTATTCAAGTACTTTACCGTTTTATTTATCGTGTTATTAGGGATTATAATTCTACTGCTCTTTCAGTATATGCCAGATCACACTAAAATTTAACTTGCAGCCCAATTTGCAGACTACATAAAAATAGGTGGAAAGGCAGGCTGCAAGAAGGATACAAACAGTTTACAGAGATACTGATAGGCTCAGAAAGTGGGCAAAACGTTGACAATTGGAATATCACGTGGGGAAATTTGTTGTTAATTTTGGAAGAGAGAACAAAAGAACAGACTATTATTTAAATGGAGAAAAACTGGAATGCTTGCTTTCACTGGTCAGTGCATTGAGTCTAGGAGCTGGGGGGTCATGTTGTGGTTGTACAGGACAATGGTTAGGCCACTATTAGAATATTGCTTGCAATTCTGGTCTTCCTGCAATAGGAAGATGTTGTGAAACTTGCAGGCGTTCAGAAAAGATTTGAGGATAGTGCCAGTGTTGGAGGGTTTGAACTATAGGGGGAGGCTGAATAGGCTGGGACTATTTTCCCTGGAGCATCAGAGGCTGAGGGATGACCTTATAGAGGCTTATAAAACCATGAGGGGCATGGATAGGGTAAATAGACATGGTATTTTCTCCAGGGTGGGGGCTCCAAAAGGTTTAAGGTGAGAGGAGTAAGATTTAAAAGGGACCTAATGAACAACTTTTTCATACAGAGGGTGGGGCAAGAATGGAATGAGCTGCTAAAAGTGGTGGAGGAGGCTGGTACAATTATAACATTTAAAAGGCATCTGGATGGGTAAATGAACAGGAAGGGTTTACAGGAATATGGGCCAAATGGGACTCCATTAATTTAGGATATCTGATCAACATGAACAAGTTGGACCAAAGGGTTGGTTTCTGTGCTGTGACTTTGACTCTAAAACACAAAAAGCTATCTCACAGTTACAGCAGGTAACCAGGAATGCTAATGGAATGTTGGCCCTTATTTCAAGGGGATTGGAATATAAGAGAAGGGAAGTCTTACTGCAGCTGGTGCTGGTGCTGGTAAGACCACACCTAAGAGCAGTTTTGGTACTCTTATTTAAGGAAAGATATTGTTTCATTGGAAACAGTTCAGAGAAGGTTCACTAGGATGATCCCTGGTATAGGAGGAGTTTTATAAGCAGAAGACGAATGAGAGTTGATCTCATCGAAACAGGTCAGGTTCTAAGGGGCTTGACAGAATAAATGCTGAGAGGATGTTTCTCCTCATGGGAGAGTCTAGGACCAGAGGGCACAGTCTCAGAATAAAAGGGGCGCCAATTGAGATGAGGAAGAATTTCTTCTCTGAGACAGTTAAGTGTCTTGGTAACTCCTTGCCACAGAGAGCTTGTATATTTAAGGCTGAGATAGATTCTTGATTAGTTGGGGAAATAAGGGTTATGGAGAAGGATATGAAAGTGGATACGAGAATGTCAGATCAACCATGATCCTACTGAATGGCAGATTGAACTTGACAGACCAAATGGCCTAGACCTGATCCTATTTCTCATGGTCTTAAATTTCTTCTGGTCTAAATAAAAACTTCAGTTTCTTTAACTTTACCACATAACCTGAAGTCCATTATGTCTCATCTTATACTGTAGTTTTTAAAAGGTCATGATCTCCTTCGTAAAGTATAGTGCCCAAAATTAGCCACAATATTTGAGCTGGAGTCTAACAAATGTTTATAGAGATTTAGGGTTACTTCCTTGCATTTGTATGCTTTGCCGCCATTCATAGAAGCAATCTTGGAATGATAAGTGACAATAACAATCACAGCATCCTAATATCAGACAACAACCATCTCCAACAATAACCAGTCAGGGCAGATCAATGCACTTGTTAAGTGCCTCAATTACTAACAAATTTCCAGCCTCTCTGGCAGTGTTATGGTCAAGATACCCACAACACTATATGCTCTATATAGCATATCACACTGCTGAGTAGACTATCAACAGCCTCTGCTAGTTGTCAGAATGTTGATCAAGTTAACGGAATCTGGAAACTAAACCTCGACCTTGCATTTTCCGCAGCTTGATTTTGACAAAAGGAAAACTCTCATTGAATTCGATGAAAAAGGTGAAAATACATTGGAAGAGCGAAACTTGTTAACTTTGCAATTATGGATATGGCAGATGAAAAGATTTCTTCCTCAGTTCTAGAGAGATTGTAGAGGGTATTTAATGCAGATGTGATGCCAGAACAGCTGAACAGTAATGCATTACTGGAGAACTGTACCTTCAATACCTTTTTTTTCCCTCCTTTAGAGCAACACAAGAGAAATGAGACTAGTATACATTTTAGCAACTGCAAAGTCAGAATTATTTAAAACATTTGAGTGTTAATCTGATTTGTCTCAAATAAACTCTTTAGTTTTATAATAGGTTGTTCCACAACTGGATTTGATAGGAAAATATTTGTGAAATGTTAATACATCAGACATTCCTAACAATGTGCTGATGGTACAAAATTATCTGGGATCAATCTGACTCTTCATTTGTTGACAGGAGTTGGTACAGTTGAGGTGACAGAATGATGAACAGAGAATGTAGGCTATACGTGTTATCACTGACAGATCACTTTCTTTTAAGGGGAACACAAGGTGTCTGTAAAAGTACACTTTAAAATATCCTGAAACAGTTTGAAGGTGATCTGACACAGAACTATTCTTTGGTGTTAAACAGGAAAGGGATATGGAAGCCAATGAGACAGACCATATATTTGGAATGTCATTGTCAGGGTGTGTTAGTTGCCTGTGTACATTACCATCCATTATATCTCATTCTCCATCTGGTGCTGCCAAATGCCATCTACATTTCACAACGTAAGGAGGAGTCATAAGAAAGCCTCAGCCAACCCAAGGTTATTCACAGATGGGGGCATTAGCACACAAAGTCTGTCCTGCTTTCCTTTGAATATTGGATTTTGTTTTACATGCATTGGAGGGACAAATTCAGTTTAACATTTTATCAGAAACAGTAGCTTCAAGGATGCAACATTCCCTCAAGGTTGCTCTGAAGTACAAATGTGGTTAACATGCTTACTTCTAAACCACAACTTTTAGTCTCAGAGACAAGAGCACTACTCATCTGACCGGCAAACCTTCTAAAACTAGAGAGGATTAAAAAAAAAGGCATTATTCTACCTGATGCGTTTGGATTGAAACAGATGAATGGAATTAAAATACCACTGGTCCAAACAACCCTGTAAAAACTGTTGGGAGGAAACAAAGGGATAGAAACAGACAGAATCTTGTTTTCAATGGATCTGACATCAGACAGCACATTTAGATTGCAGTGCACTGGATGGAGTCTGCCATAGAAATGGCTGATGACAGCACTCAAGCAGAAAAGGGTGAAAAAAAAAAAACTTGCCAACACAGGAAGAAAAGCATTGCAACACACAACTGTCTTTGTGCAAATACCTTAGTAGTTCCAAATCTTAAAAGACAAAAAGGATAGTAAGTGTATTGCATCAGGCAAATCTCCAAGTCACACACCATCCTGATGTGGGTCTACAAACCATCATTTCTAGATCAAAATCATAGAACGCTACCTAACTACACAGCAGGACCACCATCACCCCACAGACTGCAACAGTTCATGGGAATAGGTCATCACTGCCTTCTCAAAGGCAATTTAGGGATGTGTGCATTACAATGAATATTTATAGCAAAGTGTGGAATGTTATAAAAAGAATGCTATAGTTTTAAAACAGGAATGTTACATCTTCAAAACTGAATTCATTAAATTTTTCCAAGTGTTCAATGAAATGCAATTTGATCCAGAACGTTTATTATAATTATTGAGATATAATGCATTATTTAGTGTTGCAAAAATAACATTCAACCTATTGTCTCCGCTCCCACAGCAAAAGGCAGGATCCTTTAAACCCAAGTTGTTCAATTTTATGGTTGAGGAAGCTGCCATTTCATTTGCAACTACTTGAATATATACATATACAGTTCTCAAAATCTTTTGGTGTAAAAATTGTAGTCATTCCTGCTGACATTTCAAGAATTTTAATCTGACCCTTCAACCTGAGGGCCAGTAAGTTCCTACACCAATCAGATTTCCAGAGCCTCTGCTCTGACTAGTTCTGAACTCATTAAACGGCAGTTTTTTGGTACATTAATTATCTTCCCACATGCAGATAGATGCAATTTTCCAGCTGAGATGAAGGTCTCCATTCCAGTGGTCTTGCTCAACCTGTAAATAAGATGGATACAAGTTTAGCAGAAAACGCAAAAACTGGAGAACAGCTCCATTTCAGATTAACCCATTAACTGTCACAGAAAATTCAAACTCCAAACTCCACTTATGATGAAGATTTTCATCACCTACCATTTCCCAATACGCACACGCCACAGATCCCTTTCAGAAAATGCACTTGGCTTTTACAGTCTATCCTTCTTGAATGAAGAGACATATCCCCATCATGTGCATTTGTTTGAAGGATTGTAGATTTCTATTTTAACCCGAACCATCACACTATGAAACTGCCACCCACTTGTTAAATTTATCATTTGCTAGTTTTAATCCATGCTTCTTTATTCTGCCAGTCGTATCTGTGAATAATATTTCATGATATTTCACTTGGAGTGCTTTGAACTTCTACACCATTCATTCTCTTGTGAATCTTTGTGGGAAGTCCCTCAGACACTTCCCACACATTGCTGGCCTCTGTAGCTCCAAAGCTGTTACCATACTGAAAAGTAAAAAATAATTCAATCTTTTAAAAGCCTTTAGAATTTGCCGAGTGCTTAAGTCAATTAATCACCCTGCTTGCAACCAGCTTCCAAAACAATTTGTACAAAATGTAATTGAGCTTATAAAAATTTCCCAAGAATAGACCATTCAGTCCCCTCGAGTCTGTTCAATACAATTATGGCTCATCTTCTGTCTCAACTTCACTCTCCTGCTCCTTCCCTGATCGTATTCCATGATATCTTCAAAAACCAAGCTCATGATTGCTGGAATGCAAATAAAATCCAGGATCCCTTCCCTTTTAACTGAAGGAGCCTCATTAACACCAAGCCCATATAATTGATATAGACCTTCCCCACATACTCTACAATAGACTTTATCAGTTGACTATTTCCCTTAAAGTCTGCCCTTACTCAGTCTTGCACTGCAACAGTTCACCAGCCTCCCTACAAAGTAGCGTCTCCTCTGAGCTTCACATACAAAAGCAGAAACCTGGACCCGAGTGACTATTACTCTTAAGCTGTCGAGAGCAAATTCAAAACATTTCTGGATAGTGCAAGTGATCCCCTCCCACCTTGATACACAGCACTCAACAGACTAAGTGTACAGCACCCACCTGAGAATAAACAGGCAGGTAAAGGCGAACTGGTCCATTTGCCCAGCTCTATAAGCAGGATGGCTCGAACTAACCTCTCATGGCCCCCTTTTAAAAGGAATAGCTGTGTGTATCCTGCTTCTTGAAAATTACTAAGCACAGTTATGACCAACTGCCACAGCAGCTTACCAAGGTTACACAGGTGGGCTTTTGTTAGGTAAGGCATGAAGGGTTATGGAACAAAGGCATGCAGACAGAGACAAAATATAGACCAGCCCTGATCTAAAAAATTGATGGAATAGGATGTGGCCATTCAGCCCCTCAAGCCTATTTTTAGGCTCCTGATCACGATTTGGTAACTGTGTATTAAGGTTTGCACATGAGGATACCAGGCTCGACTGGGACTGCACATTTATAACAAATAGCCTATGGACGCTGAACGTTAAAGTTTACACTGACGCAATAATGGTCACTAAGACAAAATATCCACCACTTCCCGTGCATTGCCATTCCACTCTCTGGCTAAGACAGAAGAAATGACTTCATTGAAAACCTCAAGCAAGTAGAGAGATATTTTGGAACAAGAAGATTTTTTTTTTAATATTCTTGCCCATTTGTTGAGAAAATACAAATCCACTTTTGGAACGTCAATTGTAATAAATACACCCTAAGAATACAGTTCAACAGCAATACAAGTAGACAAGCTCATTTAAACATGATACAATATTTCGAGGCCCAGACAGAAGCCTTGATTTCACACTTACTTGCTGAATAAATTCATTTAGATAACAGGTAAAGAAATGTCACATTGGTGCAGTTAAGCACTTGGTTAACATTCATTTATAGATATCAATTGACAGGGAGAAAAATAAAAGTATAAAATGAAGAAAACAGTAGAGTTGTGAGCCAAAACCTCCCTGGTCTTATTTCAGCATGGTGACCCACAGGTACCAATGTTGCATTTTAAAAAGTTACTACACGATCTGTCTAACGTACAAAGACCAAATATTTATAAATTCAACATCTGGAATGCTCGAAAAAACGTTTCCTTAAAACAGCCACAAGCTTTACAAAGTTGTGTGTGTGACTGTTGACAATTTTATCCAATATACCAGCGACCCATATTCCCACATCCCCCAGTGTAACAATGCCTCCCACCCAATATTTGTAGTCATATAGATTTTAAGATTAAAAATACATCAAAAATATTCCACGTCTTACAATTAATTCTTTACTCCTGGCTGTGCAGTTAATACTGATGAGACTGTCAAACTCCTTTGTGGATAATATTAAACCCTTAACTGTCAATAAATTGGGATATTAATAGTCAGTTCTGGTCCAGTCCCCATTTGGAGTCCTAATACCACCTGCATTCACATTAATATTCCCTGGATTGGAATTAGAAATTCTGCATTGAATGTAGCAACCAGCTCTGCCCTCTGTCAAATCTTAGCAACCTCTCACAGGTGAGCAATACACAGATTAGATAAATCTCAAGCACTACCACACACTGTATCTGCTGTGGCTCAGAAGGTCATGTGTTCATGTCCCACCCCAGAGACTGACACACCAGTGTCGTACTGAGGGAGTTCTGCACTGTCAGGGGTGCTACCTTGTGGAAGTGATGCTAAACTGAGGTACCCTGGTTGGCCTTCCAGAGAAATGCAATATATCTCAGGGCATTATTCTGCAGAAGTGCACTTCCCAGTAAGGTGGCCTATCTTTATTCCTCGACGATCACGAAGGGAAACAAACTTAAAATAATTGAATCTTGAGTTTGGACTGCATAAATTGGTTGTTTGCTACATTGCAAACAGTATCTACACTTCAAAAAAGTACCTTACTGGTTGTAAAGCACGAAGGGGTGTTACATAAATGCATGCTTCTTCATAGAATCTGTACAAAGAAGCAGGCCATTCGGCCCATCTGGTCCACACTGATCCTCCAAACAGCAAATGTGGAGTTGGAGGAGCACAGCAGGTCAGACAGATGAAGGGTCCTGACCCAAAACGTCGACTTTCCTACTCCTCTGATGCTGTCTGACCTGCGGTGTTCTCCAGCTCCACATTTTATCAACTCTGACTTCCAGCATCTGCAATCACAGCATTCCACCAGACTCACTGCCCTGCCCTACCCTATTCCTGTAACCCCTGCATTTCCTATGGCTAACTCATCTAGCCTGCACATTATGGGGCAATTTAACACTGCCAATCCACCTAACCTGTACATCTTTGGACTGAGAGAGTAAACCGGAGCACTCAGAGGAAACCCATGCAGACACGGGGAGAACGTGCAAACTCCACACAGACAGTTGCCCGAGGCTGGAATTGAACCCAGGTTCCTGGCGCTGTGAGGCAGCAGTGCTAACCACTGAGCCACCGTGCTGCCCCTAGTCAGTGTAGTAGTCTACGGTGATAGAATAGTATGGAGATCAGGAACATCGTATAGTGATGGTAAAAATCTATTAAAACAAGTGAGTGCCTGGACGAGGCCCAAATGGCAGTAAGGATAAAAGATATCTTGGGCATCAGCAAACTCCGCAATGGATTAAAAATTACTGTGTCTGGTAAACACTACGTTTGATGGAAAATTCAAAAACAAAACAGTTTGAGTCATTACACCATCAGTACCTCTGTGTTCATATAGCATGGCATAAATAGGGCACAAAATATGTATAAAGTCTACATCTGTGTACACAACAAGATGAACTTCCTGGACATATCTAAAAAATGTGGAGTAAAAGAAACTGGCATCCAAATGTGACTGGAACAACTTTGCAGCTAAAAAAAAAGTGAAACTACAATTGATAATGGACGGGAAAAAAAACCCACCAAGACTAAACATTTATCAATTATTCCAAGTTTGACTGCCTGATCCTAACGAAAAAAAAAGGGTAAATTCATTTACAACTTTCTCGTGTTCTCTACGGATATTGTGGCCCAATGCTTCCATGGCTTTAAATAGTTTCTCACACATGCCACTTTCAGTAGGGTTTAGTCACCTTGTACTCCAGATCAAAATTGGACTGAAGACAGGATGGGGACAAGGTAGAAAGGATCATAGCTCAAATTACACATTTGTTTTGACGATAACACCTGGCTGTTTCTCACACCGTAGAGTAAAAAAAGAGTTCAAAATTAGTTATCTGGCTTATTTACATTCAGTGATCTCTCGAGTGGCCTATTAGAGATCCAAACGTCCAAAAATCAAACACATGGGTGACTAACACCAAAAGAGAGAAACCACAGTCATTTCTTTGAAAAGTTCCCTTGTTCAGAGAGACGAAAGAAGTGCAGGAAAGGGCAGAGATCTGAAACAGGTGCAGGCCATGTTTTCCTGAGTGCAGAGGGAGAGAGAACCGAGTTGAAGAAGATTGGATAGCAGGAGTCACTGTTCAGAGTAACAGTCTTGAGTTCTATCTCAAACTGAGTCCCAGTCCCTCCACCCAGTACTTCAGCGGCTGGGATAGTGATGTTAGTATCCTGGAGCTGGTTAGTGTTTGTCCTTTGCTCAGGCCTGTAAGAGGCTAAAACTGTTAAGTGCATTGTCTAGTCTGATTAAGCAAGGCTTGGAGGTTAGACAGCACGCTCAAGGGTGAGTTTAGCCCAGAGTCAGAGGAGCTTTACGAAAGCAAACTGTCTCGTAGCTAGTGATTTGAACAGCACCTGAGCTGGGCTCATTTCCTTCCACACAATCTGTCCTCTGTGTTGTCCTTGTGGCCGATTCCAAAACATCCCCTTTAAGACAGAAAAAAATATTTTTAACAAAAAGGCAACAGCATTTGTAATGGCCATTTTGCAAGCAACATTACAGTTTAAGGACTGAACATGAAAGGGAACAAAGTATGATGTTTCAGGGGCTCTCAGGGAGAGGTGGGCTCTATGGGGTTGAAGTGCATTATCTCCTCCTCCAATGCAATTTTGATTTAGTCCCCTCCTTTGTTATTATTACACCGACCTTGGTGGGCAGTGTCTGCAGCAATTTTTTGATTCGGTGTCTTGTTTAATTGGTGGTGGATTCTTGGCCCAGTCTTGTAGTATGGTGATAGATTCCCCAGCGACTGGGTTAGAACATGCAGATTCAAACCCTACTTGTCATAACATGCTTGAACTGATTAGCCTTCTTTTCTTAAAATCAATCTTTTCATCTGGCGTGGTATGGGAAGTGGGCAAGTTGGAGGTTCTCCTTGTGGGTCGACCCCTGGCCTACCAAAAGTGGCCAACAGTAGCCCAGGCAGCGAGTTCTGGGTCATAATTCACAACTGCCTGTCCCTTTATCATGGTTACATCTGTGCCCAGGTATGCTTGGCAAGGGAGCATGGCGCATTCAGACTTTGTGTGACAAGTGCCCACCACAGGGGCTGGGGTGCGTGATTAGCCCAAGATTTTGATTTCAAATTTAAAGCTTCTTTTAAACTTTTATTTATTCATTTGTGGGACACGGGCTTTGCTGGCTGGGCCAGTATTTATTGCCCATCCTTAGTTGCCCTTGAGAAAGTGGTAGTGAGTTGCCTTCTTGAACCGCTGCAGTCCTCCTGCCATAAGTTGACCCAGCGACACTGAAGGAACGGCTGCATATATCCAAGTCGGGATGCTGAGGGGCTTCAAAGGGTACCTGCAGGGGGTGGTGTTCCCATGTATCTGCCGCCCTTGTCCCTCTAGATGGAAGTAGTCATGGGTTTGAAGATGCTGTCTCAGAATTTCTGCAAATTTCTGAATTTGATTAAATGTTACAGCGTCCTTAGTGGGCTGATGTTTTTTAAAGTTGGTTCAATTTGGTTAATTTGTTCTATTGAAAGATCGAGAGAGAGTTGAGTTCTTCTCAATTGGTTTCTGGACAGGGAAAGGGCTCATGAGGGAAAAGGTAGAAACTGGTGTTGGCGCTAAACGACATTTAAAATGTGAATTTCTGAGGGTATTTTGCTGCCTAGTTCAACATGTGGTCCGTTAAACAAGGAAGAGGACAAAAAAAAAACAATTAGAATAATTTTCAAAGCATACATGAAACTCCCAAGGACAATTGCGTGGAAACAGATCCATAGAAGGTATCTCTAAAAGCAGGAATTATCATCACGCAGCATAGAATAAAAGGGAAATTGGCCAAGGCTTGTAATTTCAACTGCAGATGTAACAGGAGTGCACATAACCCACCAACCTGTTCGCTGATTAATGAGCGGCTGTTTAAGCTCCTTTTCTGCTGTAACCACAATGGTGGCAGTGTCTCTGGTCTTTTCAATCTCCAGTTCCTCTTGCTCTTTCAGGATTTCATCAGCAGGATTATTGCTTCCACTGACGTTCTGCAGAGATATCTGGTCCGTCACTGCCTCCTGCTCCTTGCCTGCCTCTAAATCCAACTCAGCGGCGACAGGGATATCCCCAGACCTGACCTCCACTGCAAACAAAAGCACTGCTTGTTAAGTCAAACTGAACTACCCTGCTTGAGACACCGAAGGCCCAGGTCAGGAGGGGATTTCTGGGGCATATTAAGAGTTTCATCTCCTGGGGGGAAAGGCTGGTCCCCAGAAATGAAGTAGATTTCAGCTCAAGTCTTCTCAGCAGAAGCACGGGCAAGGGGGCACCCTGACTTTACTTCTAACACGTGGTGGCTTCGGTGAAGCGGGGTGCGAAAATGTGAAAAGAAAAGAATGTTGAGACATTATGAAATTGTTTCCAGGCAGCTTTCTCCCCTGTTTCAAACAGTTGACACAATCTACTGCCCAGGATGTGGGAGTTGCTCATTCGATTTAAGGCAAGTTTAATAAGAAAGAAAAGGTATAAATAAAAAGAGAGAGATACTATTGTACTCAGCCTTCCCGAAGAACCAAATCTTACCTTTCTGCTCCTCCTTTGTGGCATTAACTGCTTGCAAGGGATTCTGCTCCAAACTGGTTCTTGGTGATGTTGTTTCCATTTCCTCCGCCCAGTCTTTCACTGGGTGGTACTCATCAAGTGAGAATGGACTCAGTGGCTTGCATTCGGATTCCTTAGGCTGCACAGTCACATCGTTTGGAGGAGTGTGAAGTTTGGGCGTTTCTCTTGACTTCCTAGCTTGTTGCTCTTTGGCACTGACCTCCGGGCTTCTGCTGGGGGTCTGCACCACCTCAGCTCCCTTCGCCACTTCCTCCGTTATTCCTGCAACGTCTTTCTTCTCGTTCTCCTCAAGCTCCTTTGTCTCCTTCAGTTCGTCCTCATTATCCGACAAATCTTCTCCAACTATTTCCTCCTCATCATCACTAGCATCTTCCCATTCATCTTCATCATCCACCTCATCTGCAGGAGGCTCACCCACATCCACCTTCCCCTCGCTCTGAACTTGAGCAGGTTTCTCTTTAAGCTCCTCTTCCTGCAATGATCAAATGAAGAGGAGAACTTGTCAGCTCCTTAGTGTTTTCACAAGCCAACATAACCTGAACACACCTTATCAAACCTCATAGAATCCCTACAGTGTGGAAGCAGGCCATTCAGCTCATCAGGTCGGCCGAGGGTGGAATCACACCCGGGTTCCTGGCGCTGTGAGGCAACAATGCTTACCACTGAGCCAAAGTGTCGCTCTGCCACCCCCAACATGAGATATACACTTAACTCAGGTTAGGGGTTCTCGGATTCTAGATGTTTTTAAATTCATTCATGGGATCTAAGGTTTTGGAGTAGATCTGTAGCTTGGGTTGAGGGTGTTGAGATTGGTTGGCTCGCCGAGCTGGTTTGTTGTTCCGCAGACGTTTCGTTACCGTGCTGGGTAACATCTTCGGTGCAGCCTCTGATGAAGCGTCGGTGTGTTTTCCTGCCTGGTTTTTAAACTCTGGGGTCCGTTGCGATGGATTGCCTCACTTCCGGGTTTCCTCCCTAGTGGAATGTATATTCGGTCGAGTTCAATGTGTTTATTAATAGCATGCTTCGTGGAGTGCTATGCTTCCAGGAATTCTCGTGCTTGTCTCTGCCTAGCCTATCCCAGGATCTTGGTGTTTTCCCAGTCGAAGTCGTGGTTCTCCTTGTCCATGTGGATTGAGATGAGTGAGTATTGGTCGTGTCTTTTTGTAGCCAGTTGGTGTTCATGTACTCTTGTTGTTAGTTTCCTTCCTGTTTGTCCGATGTCGTGTTTCTGGCAGTCGCTGCAGGGGATCTTGTAGATGACATTGGTCCTGTCCATGGCGGGGAGTGGGTCTTTAGTTCGGGTGAGCACTTGTCGTAGGGTTGATGTGGGCTTGTGTGCCACTCTGATGCCCAGCGGTCGTGGGAGTCTTGTGGTGATTTCTGACGTGTTCCTGATGTGGGGTAGTGTGATGAGTGTGTCGGGGCATGTAGAATCTTTCTGATGCTGTTCCTGTAGGCATCTCCTGACCCAGTTCTTTGGATATCCATTATTCTTGAACACTTGGAAGAGGTATTCCTCCTCCTCTTGGCGTAGTTCCATGTTGCTGCAGTTCCACATGGACAAGGAGAACCATGACTTCGACTGGGAAAACACCAAGATCCTGGGACAGGCTAGGCAGAGACAAGCACAAGAATTCCTGGAAGCATAGCACTCCACGAAGCATGCTATTAATAAACACATTGAACTCGACCGAATATACATTCGACTACGGAGGAAACCCGGAAGTGAGGCAATCCATCGCAACGGACCCCAGAGTTTAAAAACCAGGCGGGAAAACACACCGACACTTCATCAGAGGCTGCACTGAGGATGTTACCAAGCACGGTAACGAAACATCTGTGGAACAACAAACCAGCTCGGCGAGCCAACCAACCTCAACATCATTCATGGGATGCGGGCATCGCTGGCCAGGCCAGCATTTATTGCCCATCCCAAATTGCCCAGAGAGCAGTTAAGAGGCAACCACATTGCTGTGGGTCTGGAGTCACATGTAGGCCAGACCAGGTAAGGATGGCAGTTTCCTTCCCTAAAGCATATTAGCGAACCAGATGGGTTTTTCCTACAATCGATTCATGGTTGTTATTAGTCTCTTAATTTTAAATATTGAAATTTTTAAAAAATTGAATTCAAACTCCACTGCCGCTGTGGCAGGATTTGAACCTGTGTACCCAGAATATTACCTGGGTCTCTGAATAACAGTCCAGCAACAATACCATTAAGGCCATTGCCTCCCCTGTAGCCGCAAGCTCTTGGCCAAGTATTAAACTTGCAAAGGCGAATACAACTCATACCTACATATCAGATTCTAACAGAGCAAACCCACTTTCTCAGCCTCGCATTTTTAATAGATTGAACCAAGATACTGGCTACACATTTGAATGTTGAACAAAGCCATCTACTGACAGTTGGGTCCACACATACATCTATGCTTCTAAGTCAACCCTCTGTTCCATTTTCTATTCTTATTAGAAAGTAATAGAAATTGTATCAGTTACACCTTAACGCCACAGCCCTCAGTAACAAGAGGTGAATTTCCACATCCACATGTAACACTCCATTCCACTTCTACGCGGGACAGGCTAGGGCTATTTTCCCTGGAGCATTGGATGGTGAACCTTATTGATATTTATAAAATCATGAGGGGCATGGATACGGTGAATAGACAAGGTCTTTTCCTGAGAGGTAGGGGAGTCCAAAACTAGAGGGGGCATAGGTTTAAGGTGAAAAGGGAAAGATTTAAAAGGGATCTAAGGGGCAACTTTTTCACACAGAGGGTGGTGCGTGTATGGAATGAGCTGCCAGAGGAAGTGGTGGAGGCTGGAATAATGACAACATTTAAAAGGCATCTGGATGGGTATATGAATAGGAAGGGTTTGAAGGGATATGGGCCAAATGCTGGCAAATGGGACTAGATTAATTTAGGGTATCTGGTCGGTATGGACGAGTTGGACTGAAGGAAGGGTTTCTGTGCTGTACATCTCAATGCTGAGAAGGTTGTGGCCCCTCTCTCTGTTTGGGTAGTGTCCTCATTGGCTGTACACCACAGTTCAGGTCATTATTTCACCATGGACTGGGCAAGGGGTCAGGCTCCAAGAACTGCCCATACTGTGGCCATTATTTGCAAGACACTTGCGAAATGAGCTCACTGGCCATTCCAACTGCCCTTTATCAAGGCCACACCTGGAGCACTGTTTTCAGTTTTGGTCTCCTCACTTAAAAAGAGGGACATACTTGCCTTGGAAGCAGAAAATTCACTCGTCTGATTTCAAGGATGAGGGATCTGTCTCAGGAGAACTGGCTCCTTATTCACTGGAGTTTACAAGAATGAAAAGTGATCTTATTGGAACATAAATTTGAGGTGCAAGTTCTGAGGAAGGGTCACCAGACCCGAAATGTTAACTCTGTTTTCTCCTTCACAGATGCTGCCAGATCTGCTGAGCTTTTCCAGCAACTTTGTTTTTGTTCCTGATTTACAGCATCCGCAGTTCTTTTGGTTTTTATAAATTTGAGGTGGTTTGACAAGATAAACTTCAAGAGGATGTGGGGGAAACTAGAGCTGGGGACACAGATTCAAAATAATCGTCTCCCATTGTAGACTGAGGGAAGAATAAATTTCTTCTCTTAAGGGGTTTGTTAATCTTTGGAACTCTCTTCCCTCAACTGCAGTGGAGGTTGGGTCTTTGAATATATTCAAGGCTGAGTTTAGATAGATTTTTGATCAACAACGGAGTCAAGAGTCATGGTGCAGCTGGGAAAGTGGAATATGAGACCACAACAAATTAGCCAGGAGCTTACTGAATGGCAGAACAGGGGCTGCATGGCCTATCCACGCTCCTAATCTTTATGTTTTTAAATATATTTTGGGTGGGTCTGTGTGGACTTGATGGGCCAAATGGCCTGCTTCCACACTATATGGATTCTACGATTCTCATCAGAATCTCCGCCTTCCAACCCACTGGCTTCTCTGTGCCCCACTCGTCTGAGCAATGCCCGCTACCTCACCTTTGATTTTGGCCATGTCCCACCTCACTCCTGATGTGCTCCTTTGACAGGGAGTCTACACCTTGTTCCTCTCTGTGCTGCTTGTGCTCGCTGACTGTGCTCCTAGACCCTGTTCAGTCAGCTCACTCCCTCTGTTAACTTTCCCTCCCCAGTCACTGTACATATCCATAATACAAAGCTTTGGGGATAAGGTGTGGGGCTAAGCCAGCTGCTTTAGCAGAGGCCCAACACAGACACTAGGCTGAATGGCCTTCTTCTGTGCTAAAACCTTCTGAAAATATAGGATATCCCCCCCTACACAAGTACATCCCCATTTCATTGATTCTTCACAGAAGTTATATTGCTGGTGTTTGGCCTGGGTTGCATCCCATCACATCTTTGTACAATTGGAACCATAAGAATATCCTGCCACCAGCCCCACCTTTTCCTGTTCAATTATTTGCTTCTGCTCACATTCGGCTTCACACGTTTCCCATCGATTGTCGTGCATGCTACAGAGAAAGAACAGAACACATTTCAATGTCAAAACACACAAAGCCAATACACGCAGGGAGCTGTGGAAACAAACAAAATCCATTCCTTATTTCCCTCTCCCGGCAGTTTCTGTTTTATACCATAGGAACTCTTTTCACTTCTAACTCCTTCGCTGCTAAATCATGAGTCATATTAAAACAGATCATACATTAAATTATGCAATAAAAGATTTTCAGAGACTTACCAGAACTTTTCTAGAAATCTACGGTTCAGCACCAGTTTTCACCTTTCCCTTCTAGATCCTTTCCAGTAACCAGAAACCAATTTCCCACTGGGGAAGAACTTTGTTTTTTTGAGACCAATGTGTTCAACCATGCTGCGATACATGTCCAGCACAGAACTTGAATCCACGCCTGCTCTTCAAAGACAGGGACACTACCACATCCCCAGTAAGCCTTAAGAATCCACCTCCTTATTTTTTTAAAAGATATATCAGAACAGGTTGACTAGAAACTATTATAACACACCTCTGGAACAGGTAGCACTTGAACCTGGTCTTCCTGACTCAGAGGTAGGGACACTACCACTCTGCCACAAGAGGCCTAAGAACCCAGATAATTTTTTTTTTATAAAAACAACCAGAGATACCTTTTATGCATCACTGAACAGTATCATTTTCACTACTGATTCATCCTTGTTTCTGATTACCCATCAGGGCAGTGTGAAGACACCAAGAGTGAGGGAAAGGTGGGGCGTGCGAGAGAGAGAGCGCGCGAGAGACAGAACGAATCAAAATGAAGTTGAAAGGGGAAATTCCACCCAACTCTTTTTGTTTTATATCCGGAACTGCTCAAAGACTGAACAGTTTATTTTTAACCCCATCACCAAATCACTCATGGTTTTTGTTTCATTTATCACCTCATTCTCCAATTTATTTGTGCTGTCTGTTAAGAGTAATGCAAACCATCAACAGTGAGGGAGAGGTAGGGAGGACGGGGGGCTAAATCAAAATGGAGTTGGAAGAGGAGATAAACAATTCTCTTTTTTCCCTTTTTTACCCTCTACACCCAGAAGTGTTATCTCTCTCTCACACACACACACACACACACACACACACAAAACTGAGTGACTTTTGCACCATCAAAATCACCATAACTCTTTTCTTCCCCCCTCACCCCTTTTTTCTTTTAACTACCGTCTGTAATCACCTGCCTCGCCCATCAGATATTTACAAGTAAAGCCCATTATGGCCAAGACGTGGAGATGCTGGTGTTGGACTGCAGTTTCCAAAGCTTGGGGTGGCACGGTGGCTCAGTGGTTAGTACTGCTGCCTCCCAGCGCCAGGGAGCCAGGTTTAATTCTGCCCTCAGGTGGCTGGGCAAACTCCACACAGACATTCTCCCCGTGTCTGCATGGGTTTCTGCTGGGTGCTCTAGTTTCCTCCCACAGCCCAAAGATGTGCAGGTTAGTAAGAACATAAGAACTAGGAGCAGGAGTAGGCCATCTGGCCCCTCGAGCCTGCCCCACCATTTAATAAGATCATGGCTGATCTTTTTGAGACTCAGCTCCACTTACCTGCCCACTCACCATAACCCTTAATTCCTTTACTGTTCAAAAATTTATCTAGCCTTGCCTTAAAAACATTCAGCGAGGTAGCTTCAACCGCTTCACTGGGCAGGGAATTCCACAGATTCATAACCCTTTGGGTGAAGAAGTTCCTCCTGACCTCAGTCCTACATCTGCTTCCCTTTATTTTGAGGCGATGCCCTCTAGTCCTAGTTTCACCTGCTAGCGGAAACAACCTCCCTGCCTCCACCTTATCTATTCCCTTCATAATCTTATATGTTTCTATAAGATCTCCCCTCATTCTTCTGAATTCCAATGAGTATAATCCCAGCCTACTCAGTCTCTCCTCATAATCCAACCCTTTCAACTCTGGAATCAACCGAGTGAATCTCCTCCGCACCCCCTCCAGTGCTAGTATATCTCTTCTCAAGTAAGGAGACCAAAACTGCACACAGTACTCCAGGTGTGGCCTCACCAGGACCCTATACAGCTGCAGCATAGCCTCCCTGTTTTTAAACTCCATCCCTTTAGCAATGGCAGACAAAATTCCATTTGCCTTTTAGGGTGGATTGGCCATGCTAAATTGCCCCACAGTGTTCAGGGACGTATAGGTTAGGTGTGTTAGCCATGGGAATTGTAGGATTACAGGGAAAGGGTAGGGAGATGGGTCTGGGTGCAATGCTCTTTGGAGAGTCAGTGTGGACTTGTTGGGCCGAATGGCCTGTTTCCACACCGTAGGGATTCTGTGAAAGTCAGAACTCACAAGACACCAGATTACAGTCCAACAGGTTCATTAGAAATTTGAAGTGACTTCACCTGACGAAAGAGCAACACTCCGAAAGTTTGTGATTTTAAATAAATCTGTTGGACTATAACCTGGTGTCGTGCGACTTCTGACTTCATTACTGGCAATGCCACCCATCAAAAGTGAGGGATGGTGAGGGGAGTGAATGGTTAAATCAAAATGGAGATGGAAGAGCAGACAAAAAGAACTTTTAAATACAAACGCCAATGAGCATCAGCTGATCTGAAACAACCCTGGAGCTGTTTTAGTTGACACTAAAAAGGGACTTGTATCTCTAACAGTGATAGGGGAGGATGTAGCTTTAGACAATTGTTGATTAAAAGGTTTCAGATTCCAGGGAGGAGAAAAATATTCCCCCTCCAAGTGGCAGCTGCCACTCAAGGCTGGGAATTCCGACTAAACATTTCCTCTTACATAGAGGATAGGAGCAGGAGTAGGTCATTCAGCCCTTCGAATCTGCACCACAATTCAATACACCCTCAGGAGTGTCAAAAACCCTAACCACTGTAATACAGAGCCTGATTGGTATCTGATTTAACCCTTTGTGTGGTGTTGTTGCTTTAGAAGCTGAATATGCCAGCGAATTAAGGGCCATAAATGACAGTGCTTGAGCCGCAGTTGTGAGGAGTACAGGTGTGTACTCAAGTTCTTCAGTAATGGCGAACAAGTTTGTCTGTTTGTTTTAAACCTATTTGAGATTTCCAAGTAACTAGACCCTATGCTATTTACCAATCCACTGAGATACTGGGATTTCTCTCTTTAGGAACACAACTCTACAGGTGATGATGGCCTGGTGGTATTATCACTAGACTATGATTACAGAGATTCAGGTAGGTTTGGGACCTGGGTTTGATCTCCACCACGGTGTAAAAAAAAATAATGGTGGAATTAAAAATATAATGGTGGCCACAAAACCATTGTAAATTGTTGGGGGATAAAACCACCTGGTTCACTAATGTCCCTTAGGGAAAGAAACTGCCAGCCTTATCTGGTCGGGACTACATGTGACTCCAGACCTGTAGCAATGTGGTTGAGTTTTAACCACCCTCTGGGCAATTAGGGATGGGCAATAAATGCCAGTCTAGCCAGTGACACCTTCATCCCACGAATAAATGAAAAAAAAAAAGACAGGCACTTCTAAATGGTGATGTTCTGTAGCACCTGGGCCCTTAGTGCATTGTCCTCTCCCCTCCATAAAGTAAGTAGCTAGCAGGTGATTGGCTGCTTTACACCAGCTTCCGTCTTTCTTGAAAAGAATAGAACAGTACAGCATAGGAACAGGCCCTTCGGCCCACCATGTCTGTGCTGTATATGATGCTATTCTAAACTAATCCCATCGGACTTCATATGGTCCCTATCCCTCTATTCCTTGCCCAATCATGTGTCTGTCTAAATGCAGATATTGTATCTGTTTCTACCACCTCCCCTGGCAGCGTGCTCCAGGGACCTATCACCCTCTGCCTAAAAAAACCTGCCCTTGCACATCTTCTTTAAACTTTTCCCCTCCCACCTTAAACCTATGTCCCCTAGTATTTAACATTTCCACCCTGGGAAAGAGAATCTGATTAGCCATCCTACCCATGCCCCTCATAATTTTTAAAAGCCAGGTTAACGCTGACCATCCCACTCTCACAGCTGCCAAGAATGGCAAAGATCTTTTCTCTAGGGTAGGGGGGAGATCAAAATGAGGGGCATTTTTTTTTAGGGGAGCGGAGAAAGATTTAAAAGGGCCCCAAGGGGCAACCTTTTCCACACAGACAGTGGTGCGTATGTGAAGAAGTGGCAGATGCAGGTACAATTACGACATTTAAAAGACATTTGGACAGGTACATGAATAGGAAGGGTTTAGAGGATTATGGGGCAGATGAAGGCAAGTGGGATTCGTTTAGTTTGGGAAACTTGGTCGGCATGGATTCGTTGGGTCAAAGGGTCTGTCTCCATGCTGTATGACTCAATGATGCACGTGACCTCAAACTGAATTTTGGAACATAATCAAGGTTTACCACAGAAGGATCAATGGCAGGCACTGTTGCTCTGCTGGAACTGGTTTATTGGTCTTCACCAAATCAGAGAACTCCATAAATGCAGCCCTGCATGGAACAGAATTACAAGTACAGTACAGATGGGCCAAATGGTCTATGGCTGTGCTGTCATTTGCACTTGAGCACGTTTCAACAGGACTCCTGGTCAGATCCTGTCTTTGTAGAGCCTTCCTGCTCCTAATCCAGGGGCAATGCAGTCACCTTTTAATGGAAACGGTTCTGAAGAAGGGTCACTGGACCTGAAACGTTAACTCTATTTCTCTCTCCACAGATGCTGCCAGACCTGCTGAGTTTCTCCAGCAATTCCTGCTTTTGTTTCACCTTCTAATGGCGTTGAGTTAAATCAGGTCCAATCACAGTTAGAAGGAGCCCCTTCTGGTTTAGGAAGCTCAAAAGGGAAGCGTAGAAAAGCTGAACGTCTTATTAGACAAGAATGCACATACTTTACCTACCTGTAATTTTTATTTTCCCGTTTCTCTTTCCCTCTCTTGGGATCCTTACTTCTGGCTGCAGGAATGTAGTCTGAAATTGTTGGCGGCTTTGGAGGGCGTCGGTCGTCTGGAACAGGATCAGAGGGCATTACAAGCTGGAGAGCTCCCCCCTCACTGTTAACAAGATGTCAAAAACCAAAATACAAACCCCACTCACACACCCCCACCCCCAACGCCAAACATCCTCCCCAAACCCAAACCCCTGCCCAAAAACCAAAACAGCCACACCCTCCAATGATCCCCAAAACCCAGCATTTCCCCACCCCTAAATTCAACTCTAGCCAGTCACAGCTTTTCATTTTGTTTCTCAATTGGCCAGTGGTGGGGTTTAGTTGCTCTGCGACAGCACATTGCACCTGGGAATTTCCAGAAAGCAAGCTCTTTATTGTCTGCTAGTGCAGCCCTGCTTAACGCTTTTTTTTGTAGAATCCCTACAGTGTGGGCAACAGGCCATTTGGCCCAACAAGCCCACACCGCCCCTCCAAAAAGCACCCCACCCTGACTCATTCGCCTATCCCTGCATTTCCCCATGTCTAACCCACCTAACCTAAACATCCATTTCTGATGACCAGAGGCACCACTCTTTCCAAGGAAGTGGATAAACAACCACTTGTACAGTTTCTCAGAAATATAACAGAGGGTCAGCTGGACTCAGTTGATGGAAACTTTGGAACCGTCACAAGGTCATGGGTTCAAATCTCACTCCAGGATTAAGCTGATAATCTAGGCCAAGATTTCAGTGTAAAAACAGGCATATTTGCATTTCTGCAGCACATTGCACATCCTCAGTGGTGGTGGTGGAGGGGAGTACAAATTTGTCACTTAAACATTTGGACAGGTACACAGATGGTATAAGTCAACAGGGATATGCACCAAACGCAGGCAAATGGGACTAGTTTAATTATGAAACCTGGGCAGCATGGACAAGTTGGGCCAAAGGGCCCGTTTCCAGGTTGTAAACCTCAATGATTCCGTGTTCCCCAAACCATTAATAAAAGCGTTTCACTTACTGCAAAGTGTAGTCGCTGTCAGAATTTGGGAAATGAGCACAGCAAGCTGTCACAACCTTATCCCAGAGCAGATGGGGGCTTCAGTTTAGCCGAAAGGTTCATCCAGAAGATGGCACCACCGAGAGTGTTGGCACCTCCCCTGTACTTGACTGAAATGTCAGCCTAGATTTTGTGCTCAAGTGTCTGAAGCGATCAGTGAAACCACCGCCATCACACCCCAGGTGAGGGTGTACCCACTGTGCCAGGGCTAACTCAAATAAAAGTGGGCAAATGTCAGAATTCACAAACACAAACTGAACACATGCAGGAGAGCAACGTAGCAAACCTGTACGCTTGGCACTCAGATTTACTCTCTTAAAGTTCCTCAGTCCTACAGTCGGAAAGATAGCCAAAAGAGCACGAATAGGAAGAAAGAAAGAGAGAGAAAAGAGAAAATAATGAACACAAATATGTAAAACAATATTGCAGAAGTGTGGAAGCCAATGCTGAAGTGGTTCAGATGGTCTACCTGCCCAACACAAATGCATAAAGCAAAATTTGCATTGCTATAGTATCTTGCACAACATCAGTGTTCCTTAAACCACTTTAATGTAAACTATTATCTATTTCTTTACTTTCCTATGATTTTATGAAGTAAATGCCTAACTTTTTAAACTCTTCTTTCTCTTACTTTTTTTTTCTTTATTCATTTACAGGATGAGGGCGTTGCTGGCCAGGCAGCATTTATTGCCCAGAGGGCAGTTGAGAGTCAACCACATTGCTGTGGGTCTGGAGTCACATGTAGGCCAGACAAGTAAGGATGGCAGTTTCCTTCTCTAAAGGGCATTAGTGAACCAGATGGGCTTTTCCAACAATCGGCAATGGATTCATGGTCATCATTAGATTCTTAATTCCAGATATTTTATTGATTTCAAATTCCACCATCTGCCGTGGTGGGATTCAAGCCCTGGTCCCCAGAATGTTATCTGGGACTCTGAATTAATAGTCTAGCGATAATACCACTAGGCCATCACCTCCCCTACTTTGCACCCAAGCTTTTTTTGTGCCTAGGTACTTTGGTACCTAAGATGGCACCGTGTGGCGACATTAGTCACTTTTCACTGTACTCCTGTACTTGAGTACAGGTGATAATAAAATCTAAATTAAAATCTAAAATCCAAAATCCATGCAAACGTGACAGCACTTTCATTTGAAAATCCAATCTGACTTGGTTTTAAGGAGTCACATTCTATCCCCTACAAAGGGGTTAAGACAGGACACAGGAGAATTCTGCATTGTCTCCCTTTGAAACACCTTTGAAACAGTGGAAATGGACTCTACCACATCCAGAGGGTGGACAGGTCCTGGGTTTCAAATGCTTCATCTGATCACCGGCACCCCCAGTAGTGCAGTACACCCCACCCCCAACCCCCTCCAAATACTATACTTGAAGCATTAACCTGGGTTAGCATCTCAGCTGAGAAACCCTATTTTTTTTTGGGGGGGGCGGGGGTAGTGGTTTTAAGTGCAGTTCCCAGTTGTTGCTGTGGTGTACAGGCTACAAGCTGAACAAACAGGTTTCAATTGACTTGAGAGTAGCCAACAAGGCGTTGTAAAGATGATCCAGGGATCTTTAATCAGCACTTCGCAAAGGCACACTGCAGGCTACAAGCACCCAAAGTAAAAACCCCTTTCTTTTGAAAGAGTCAGCACTCTTGTAAAACGAGGGAAACAGGTCTGAACTCTTTTTAAAGCAGCGGGCTGCTTTGCATGCTGTTTTTGACAGTCTGTTCCCCTGGATTTGAACCCAAGAAGAGACTGCTGATAAAGGTCGCCTTGTCTGTGCTGGGGAATAAGTGTTATTTGTGACTCCTGGGGAAGGAAGCTTAATTTGACGCCTAATTTTTAAAATATCTTTCAGTCAGATGCCGCTGTCACTGATAAAGCCAGCATTTGTCACCAGTCTGTGTTCGGCCAACTGTCATTTCAGAGGCTAGTTAAGTATCAACTGCATTGCTGTGGGTCTGGAGTTACATGTAGGCCAGACCGGGTAAGGATAGCAGGTTTCCTTCCCTAAGGGACATTAGTGAACCTGATGGGTCTTTACAACAATTAGTGATAATTGGCACCGTCACTATTACTAACTATTGCAACCTTCAATTTCAATTTTCGTTTAAATTCATAATAAAATTTGCATTCTAAAAGACGCCACAGTGGGATCCTCCCTCACAGTATCATTCTGATGCCGTGGATTAATAGCCCAGTGCCATTACCACACACTACTGTCTCCCCCAGTGGGTGCAGAAACCTGGCACAAAGCCGGTAACCATGTTAACAAGAACCACACAGGAAGACACCAAGGTGCAATCAAATTGGTGCAGTGCCAGGAACGATCTCTGGCAAACATTATTCCCTTATAATTCCAAACAATGTCATATGGAGGAGAGGAAATAATTAGATTCACAGCAACTTCAATTTCAGAAGCAGGAGATCTTGCAGCACCAGGGACAGGCTATTGAAACCATCAGTCTCGTGAGAGATCTTTTGAATAATGTAGATGCATCTAAGGGATACTAGACAAACTTATTTTTCTAATCAACCTGCTCAGAGATGTTATTACACACCTCTGGAGCAGGTGGGATTTGAACCCATTAGGTAAACCTATGGAGGGAGAGGAGAGGGTGACAATGAAAGATTCAGATGATAAAAGATGGGAGGAGGCTCAAACGGAGCACAAGCACCAGCATACTCAGAGACAATAAGGACTGCAGATGCTGAAAGCCAGAGTCAATAGATTTGAGGCTGGAAAAGTACAGCAGGTCAGACAGCATCTGAGGAGCAAAAGTCAAAAAAAGTCAAAACCTTCAAAACCTTCCATTTGCCATCTATTTTTAACTCCCCCTCCCACTCCCCTGGTGACATGTCCATCCTTGGCCTCCTCCACTGTCAGAATGAGGCCAAATGTAAACTGGAGGAACAACACCTGATATTTCACCTTGGCAGCTTACAGCCCAATGGCCTCAATATTGACTTCACCAGCTTCAAAATCCCTCCACCCCAAGTCTTATTCCATATCCAGCACCCACACCCCCACCCCTCCTCGCCTCCCTAACCTGTCCATCTTCCTACTATCCAATCCATTCCACCCTTCCCATTGACCAATCACAATAGCTCCCTACCTGCACCTATCAGTATCTCACCTACCCTTCCCCCAGCCCCAACCTCCTCCCGCTATTTACTTTTGGCCTCCCCTCCCCCTCCCCAGTCCTGACAAAGGGTTTCGGCCCTGAAATGTTGACTTTCCTGCTCCTCGGATGCTTTCCGACCTGCTGTGCTTTTCCAGCTTCACATTTATTGACACAAGCACCAGCATAGACTGTTTGGACCAAATGGTCTGTTTCCGTGCTGTATATTCTACATACATAAAATCAGTTGAACAATAGTGACTCTCACCCTCCCATCTTTCATTCTGAGGTACATGTCAACATTCATTGATGGTAATGTTGAGAATTTCTTCTTGCTGAGCTATACGAAGCTCCTCACCCACCACTTCCCAGCAGGTTAACCTACCTCGCATACTGCGACCTTCAGCACTCACAGTGGGAACTGGGTTATCTTTGAACCTGAGGGGGGGAAATGGAAGGGAGAGGAAAAGAAATAAAATTAATGATGGAGTAGAGCAAAATAGTTCAAGCAAATCAAATCAAAAATAACCCATTGGTGATGTTTAACATCTGCCAGGAGCCATCTAGATAAGGCACAAATAGTTAATTAGAACTGTGCGTTGGACTGGAGGCAGAAAGGATTAAACAGGAATAGATTTTTCACTGGAGCTTGGTTGGTCAGGCTGAATTCAAGATGACAAAAGGTTTTTATAAGGATGCACCATACTTTCCTACATCCACAACCCAGGAGCAGCAGTGTGTACCATTTACAAGACGCACTGCAGAAATTCACCAAAGATCCTTAGGACAGCACCTTCCAAACCCACAACTACCTCCATCTAGAAGGACAAAAGGGCAGCAGATACGTGGGAACACCACCTCCTGCAAGTTCCCCTCCAAGCCACTCTCCACCCTGACGTGGAAAATATATCACCGTTCCTACAGTGACACCGGGTCAAAATCCTGGAATTCCCTCCCTAATAGCATTGTGGGTCAACCTACAGCACATGGACTGCAACGGTTCAAGTGGGCAGCTCACCCCCACCTTCTCAAGGGGCAACTAGGGACAGGCAATAAATGCTGACAACATCCCATATCTGAAGAACTATTTGAAGGATACAGACAGTAACAGTCCATTAAGCCCAACAATTCTTCACATAATCCTCCAGTGTCTCTCTTGCTTGTTTATCTAGCCTCTCCTCAAAAGGCAAGGATATTTTTTAACAAAAAAAAAAATAGCTTCTATAATAGCAGTGATATGTAACTGGACTGTTGATAAGAAGGTCTCAGTTCTGTTCTGGGTCAGAACCGACTTCAGAATTCACAGTTCAGAGACAGAAAATACAGAATGGGAAAAAAATCCAAATATTCTCAAAGAGATTACTTCCAAATTAAATCTGATTATATTTGTAATTGTCTCAGTTAGCCAAAATAAAGTCACAATTACCACACCATAAGGCTAGGGACTTGAAAACAAACGACCAGACACTTACACACAATACAGCATTTTGACAAAAGGGATTATAACGACAGCTCATACTTGATGTATGAATGAAGTGTCTGGAGAACATGAATGGTGGAGTTCTAATTAGTAAAATGAGAGGGGAATAGCTTGGCAGTGCCCGGCTCTCTCAGTAAACACATACATGGATTCAGTCTTCTCAGCGTCCCACTCTCGTCTCCACTGTCCCATTGCATTGCGATGTCGCTCAAGCCTCTCCTGGTCGATCTGCTCTCGCTCCTTCTTCCAGCGCACGTACTCCGCCCTCTCTCGACCAGTCATTGACATTGTCATGTCGACAGAACCCTTGGAGCCTGACCATCTGCCCTGTGGGAACACACATCAGCTGGATTGTTTTTGCCTTTATTCTTTCAATGGGATGTGGGCGCCACTGGCGAGGTTGGTATCTGTTGCTCATCCCTAATTACCCCTTAAACTGAAAGGCTTGCTTGGCCATTTCAGACAGTGGTTAAGGTCAACTGCACTGCTGTGGGTCTGGAGTCCCACGTCGGCTAGACCAGGCAAAGACAGCAGAATTCCCTCCCCCAAAGAACCTTAATGAACCAAATGGGTTTCTCCAACAATCTTTCGACAGCACCTTCCAAACCAGTGTCCTCTACCATCTAGAAAGACAAGGGCAGCAGACACATGGGAACACCACCTCCTGCAAGTTCCCCTGCAAGTTCCCCTCCAAGCCACTCACCATTCGGACTTGGAAACATAATCGCTGTCCTTTTGGCGTTCAGACCATAAGAATAGGAACAGTAGGCCATTCGGCCCCTCAAGCCTGCTCGGCCATTCAATAGAATCAAGGCTGACCCCACATCCTTCACGTCCACTTTCCTGCCCCTTCCCCATAACCCTCGATTCCCTGACTGATCAAGAATCTGTCTCAGCCTTAAATATACACAAGGATTCTGCCCCGACAACTCCCTGCGGCAAGGAGTTCCAAAGGCTCTCAACCCTCAGAGAAGAAATTCCTCACCTCACTGTTAAATTGCCACCCCTTTACTCTGAGACTATGCTGTCTGGTCCTAGACTCTCCCATGGCAGGTAATGTCCTCTCAGCACTTACCCTGTCAAGCCCCTTAAGAATCCCATATGTTTCATCAGAGTAAAATCCTAAAACTCCCTCCCTAACAGCACTGTGGGAATCCCTAAACCTTAGTCAAAATCGTAGAATTCCAACTGTTTGAAGTACTCTGATTTCACCCACACATGGACTGCAGTGATTCAAGAATGCAGCTCACTACTATCTTCTCCAAGGCAGCGAGCAATGCCCACAGCCTGTGAATGAGTGATAAAAAGTGTTTAAAACCGATGACGGTTGTCGGGTCACCGTTACCAAGAACGGTTACACATGGGACTGACATTTGATTAGTTGCTGTGGTGGGATTTGAAACTATGACCCCTTAAAGCCTGAGCTGGGCCTCCGATTGACTAATCCAGTGACTTTTAGCACCTAGGCACGGTCTTTCCATTGATTATTCACTGAAAGAACCAAAATAGGGGAGGGTGAAGCAGAGACCACTCTGTCATGGTACTGGATGCATGGTTAAATCACAGGCTCTCAGCAGAAGGATGGGGACAGTCATATAGCACAGAAACAGACCCTTTGGTCCAACTCATCCATGCTGACTAAGTCTCCCAAACTAAACCCTTGCCTGCGTTTGGCCCATATCCCTCTAAACTTTTGTTATACCTGTTCAAATGTCTTTTAAAATGTTGTAACTGTACCTGCATCTACTGTTCCTCTGGCCGTTCATTCCACATATGAACCACCTTCTGTGTGAAAAAGTCCCTCCTTTGATTTAAAAGGGACCTTTCTCCTCTTACCTTAAAAACACAGCCCCCTGGTTTTGAAATTCCCCACCCTAGGAAAAAGACCTTTGCTATTCACCTTATCCATGCCCCTCATGATTTTATAAACCTCTATAAAGGTCACCCCTCAGC